TACTTTATATTTTTTTTTACACCGGCCACCTCATCGACACTTACCACGACCGGCTGAGCGACCGCATATGCATGCGTCAGAGGCGACTACTACTGACTGAGTTGGAGGGAGACGGCGGGACGCGGCGGGGGAGAAAGAGAGAGGTAGAGATGAGGAGGGGGCGTGGCAGCGGGGGGAGGAAGCAAGAGGGGGCCGCTTGGTGGGGACGGTCCGCCGGCTCGCCGGTGTGCCCGGCTGGCTGGCCCGGCCCGTGGCCCGGCCCCCCGCCGGCTGCCGGCTCCTCAGTACGCTGGCTGCTCCGCTGCCCCCCGGCTCGCTCGCTCCGCGCCCCACACGGCCCATCGCGAACCCCGCGCGACACGACGCCCGAACCGTGCGCGCGCGCGAACAATACAAAATCATAATAAAACAAATCGGAAACCGCGGCGAGTTCAGCGACCAGTGCGATCCGCATGGATAGGTGTGTGTCTCTCTCTGCTCCCTGCATGACATATGATGTGGAATTAGTTGTTAGTGACCCGGTGTGTGTGTTGATGTGTGAAGAGACGCATGTGGACGTCTGTGTGCGTGGGCGCGCTTTTTCTGGCTCGTGGTGGGGGCGATGTTTCACTGATGAATAAAGTCTGTTGTTCTTGCTACTATGTTCTACATTTGCAAGTTGGAAGTTGCACAGCTGAAAGTGTTGAAGAAGGGCTGTGCCTGAACACACCTTATTTATCCGTGTCCCATCCCATACTTCCAGCCATTACAAGTGTGCAGACTGATAGTTGTGCACTTGCAAAGTGTTCAACTCCAGTAGGACGCTTCGCAAGCAGGATGCACGAATCAAAGCAAAAATTTGTGTGAACAATTTGCAAATGCCAGTATATTTTTAAGTGAATATTTACTGGCAAGAAAAGTCAACATAATTGCAATGCAACGAATGTCATGTATACCGCCACGAAACTGTTACTGTACTGTCATTGCCAAAACATTTCGACTCAATTTTTTCGCCTAACTATTACTCGTTCCGTGACCATTATTGGCTGACGATATCAGGACCCGACCCCACCCCGTTATGCAGCGACAACCCGCGTGGCAAATTGAACGTGGTGGGCAATTATCATCACTCTGCTGATGAAATCAGATGAAACGTAGCCGGCGGGCCGGGCGGGCCGGGCGGGGCGCGGGCGGGCAGGTCACACGCCTCGTTATGAGGGGTTATCTATCACGGCGGGGGATCGTGCAACCCGCGGGCCGCGGCGCCCCACCCGGGCGTGACCGCGGCGCGGCTCTGTGCTGTATGCGCCGCGGGGGCGCCATGCCACCCGCCCGCCGGGATGGAGACCAGCTGGTATGTCAGTGTACATGCCATATGGTTGCTTTGCTTGCCACAATTGTGGCATTCCTCTTTGCTTATTCCCACATTACAATTGTGCCATTCCTCTTTGCTTATTCCCGCTATTATTGTGGCATGCCTCTCATTAAATTCCCAAATTTTGGCATTATAAGAAATGACAAAGAAATGACAAATAGAATGGCAGTCTCGAAAGGACTGCCCCGTTTTATACAAAAATTTTGCACTCAGGAAGGAATATAAAAGTTCGACATTCTGAAAGGCATGTCAAAATTTTGGCAGTCATAAATGAACTCTTAAATTGTGGCAAGCAAAGCGGTCTCGTAGTTTGGAGAGCTCGTGAAAGACTGAGGTCAGTTACATAGTTTGATATGGTCGTGACCCTTTATTGGAGAAACCCCTAATAACAATTTCTTCGCAATTTCGTGAAGCTGTAGTATCCTTTTCTTGGACCAACAGAGAGTGACCCTCAACTCACGGCAGGTCTCGGGCCAGTCTAGCTAGCCACGTGTGGTCGTAAGGGTCGAATCGGGTCGGCCGAGCTTGTGGTTTGAAGGCCTTGCGTAACGGGTCGGGCGGGCAGCAGGAGCAGCGTTTCGGGTGACATCTTCATCCTCGGCGCGGCTTTACGCCGCCGTTAACCTTGGCTCCATCTCTGCCCCGCGGCCCCCCCGCGCGCGCGCTTCTGGTCAGACTTGGGTGACTTGATTAAGATTCGGCCGCTGACCGTCAACCTTTCATTGGTAGTATCAAGCGACCGCTCTCGATGCGATCCGAAACAACAGAACAACAGCCTCACTTTTCCCCCCACCCTCCCTCTCCTTCTGCCTCTCTCCGTCGCTCTCTCACAAGTTGAGCGGAGCGCTGTGTACTTTTGCCCGCGGCGCGCCCAGTGCTCCGGGTAGCAGCAGCAGTAGTAGTTGTAGTAGTCATGAATCAAACCTGAATTAGCCGTCGAGTCTCCACGAGTAATTGGCTTCCTTCTCCTTCCTCCTCCTGGCTGCTCCTGGCCGCCGCCGCCGCCACGCCACCCTCACGGAGCGCCTGCCGGGTAGGCAACGTCGCGCGGGGGTGTCCGGCGGGGCGGCCTACCCGACCGCTCTGCAGGGGCTCCGAGAGAACTGTGTGTGTGTGTTTGTGTGTGTGTGTGTGCGCGCGCACGGTGCTGTTGTCTGTGGGACGCGCGGCGATTGAGATTGACGCGTGAAGCACCGCTCTGGGGCTGGGCGGTGCTGGCGGGGTGTGGGGGGAGGTCGAGGCGGGGCGGGTCACGCCGTGCCATTTCATTGACCTATAAGGGCCCCCCCGCGAGGTGGACGCGAAAAGGTGGCAAAAGGAGAGAGGGTGGCGGAGGCAGGTGGTGGTGGGCGAGCGAGGAGGGACAGAGCTGCACTGCTGATAGCAGAGCGCCATGTCCTCCCCTCCACCCCTTTCCTATTTCATTTGGGCCCACCCCGCACCCCTCCGAACAACAGAGAAGGGGACGGCAGGCGTGTCAGATTCAGCTTCCGCGCCCGAGTGTCGTCCTTCCCCCCCACAGCCCTATTGTGTGCCGTCACTCTCCTGGCCGTGTGTTGATATGTTCCCACGAGCAGGACCCGCGCGATAGGTGGAGACTACAGTAGAATAGTAGAACGTTCCGCGGACTGGCAAAGCGCCTTGTCAAGAAAACAAAACAAACAAAGATACGTACCATTTCACTGGTAGTTTTGGGCCATGTTTCTTTCCCCTTTCCTTCTATCTATGATTTTTTTTAAATATTTTTTTTACTGTTCGGGGAACAGGGCATCATTAGGCGACGCGAGAATGTCACTCGTCGGGTCATTATGGCATAAGTCATAATCCCCCTCCAGAAAATCAGACGCCAACCTCGGACAGAATAATTGTAAATTTATGCACATAAAATTGCGGTGTCTCTTCTTTTTTTCTGTTTTTTTTTCTTTTTGTTTTTCTTTTTTGACAAGAAGCTGCCGCTGCAGCTAATCTGCTGTGGGAAAGAAAGAACTCTCGGTAGCGGTCCGGCTGGGCGAGCGCCGTAATGGGGGCGTTATTAAACACTCGAGGGGGGGGGGGAGTCAGGGTCACTCTACTGACATTGGACCACCACGAGGCGCCGCAGCAAGGCAGCCAGCTCGCCGCCGGGCGCGCGAGTCCATCCACCATGGAGTACTCGTCGTGTGAGGTTTGTGTGTCGGCGTGCGCAGCAGAAAGGCCCACTCAACGCCTCTCCCCAAGCAGAGTCTGTACCAGAGGCAGCGGGACCTCGGCGGTTCGAACCGATCGCCACGCGTCGCTGACAACCACCGAGCCGTTCGCCAACCGTCCTGTACTCGTGATGAGACGCTATGTTTGTTCTTCTAGAACGGCGAGCTGCGCGGAGGGAAACGCGGGGAAACGCCATTGACTATGGTGGCTGATTTAGAAAGGGGATTGGGGGGGGGGGGCAGTTTTCCAGACGGATAGCTTAGAGGAGTGCGACGGAGGTCGACGGAAAGGTCTCGGACTTTCGCTTGCGTTGCGTGAACTCCGATGATACGCGTAAAATTTCTGTTCTTTAACGATATTACAAAAAAATCGACGGTGTACTCTCTAGACGGTATTGCCCCTGCTTGTGCTGATGCGTTATTTCGAAACGTGAGGGCAAAACGTTTTTTTTTTTTAACGCGTCCTGCATTGCCGCGCGGTAAAGTATAACTTTCTTTCGTTTTCCCTCTCCGTTTGCTTCTCCTCCTCCTTCTCCACCACCTGCTTGTCGGCGTCTTTGTTTTCTTTTTTTTTTTTTTTCGAGCCGACCACGGAAGCACGGCGGTCATAACAATAATAAACAACAATAAGCACAACAACGTGGGGCTGCATCAGACGTAATAACGCGTGGTGTGTGTGCAGCGAGTGCACGTGTGTGTGTCGAGGAGGAGGCAGGGGGGAGGGAGGCAGGATCCTGCACCTCCTCGAAAAGCTCGTCTTCCCGAGCGGAACGTGAAATAACGAACCGGATCGGTACCCGCTCGGTACTCGGTACCCGCGCCCGCCACGGCTCAGGACACCGCCCTGTAACAATAGTTTTATAACTCATTTGGGAATATGCATGGAATTTTGAGAACCTGTTTCGAGTCCCGCCCACCCCCGTCCCTTTTTCGGACAAGGGTCGCCTGAGCTAAACCGGGCCCCGCTAGGTTCGCGACCTCTGAACTGAACACCGCCGCGCCATAGAGCGTGCCAAGGACTGGACTTCCCTGCCGAGGCAATCAACGGAGACCGCCTCGAAAAAAGAAAAGATAATTTCCGCGATATGCCCGCACCGAAGCAAAAGGTCCTGACCCTGGCCCACCCCCAAGGACACTGCGGGGGTGTGTGCGCGCGCGCCGCGCTCCGCTCGCCGGTCCGGACAGGAAACTCCGCGCCAAGTCGGCATTCGTCTATTTCAAGCGGGCCAACGCCAAATCCAAAACAAAACAGTAAACTCGCACCATCCCCTCCTCTCCCCTCCGGCCGGCTCGGCTGTGCGCGAGTCCGACTGTCTGACAACTCCTCCAAGTGGCAGTGGTCCGTCAAGTCGCTTTAACACCGCCTCCCTCGCCTCCATCTCCCGCTCTCTATGCGAGTCTTTCTCTCTCTCTCTGTCCGTCTCTCGCTCTCTCTCTGTCCGTCTCTCGCTCTCTGTCTCTCTTTCTCTCTCTTCCTCGCTCTGCGAGCCGCGAGGAAGGATGTTGGGCTGACGTACGTGCGGCGGCTAAATCGAGCACTGGCCCCCGCGTCCGCGCCGTTACCGCCGGGGTCGCGCTTCCCCGAACCGCTCCCGACCCCGCGAACCCTCCAGAGAGGCCCCGACCTCGCCCGACCTCGCCCGACCTCGCCCGACCTCGCCCGACCTCGCCCGACCTCGCCCGACCTCGCCCGACCTCACTCTTCCGGCCCTTGCCTCTCCCAAAGGCCTTCCAGGAGAGGACTGGTAGGTGGGGGTCTCAAGCGCCGCAGCAGTGACGTGTTCCTCTTCCCCCCTCACCCTTTTCCTCTCTGCCCCCCCCCCTCTCTCTCTTTCTGCTGTTGATGTGGGACACAATTGAATAATGCGACCTCACAACACAGCGCTGGGCTGCCCCAGCCGCCCCTGCGCGTGATGTAGTCTGCTCGTTACGCGATATGAATGAATGAATGGATGCACTGATAAAAACAGCTGTTTGTATGTCTGCGCGCGCGCGCGTGTGTGTGTGTGTGTGTGTTGTGTGTGTGTCTGTGTCTGTGAATGTGTGCCGGGTGTCCAGGAGGTCCGCGCCAATGGGCGGCGCCTGCAAGTCTCGCTGATGTGGACGTGTTTAGCCATTCCTTTTGAGTAGGAAAGCCATAGGATTAATGACGCAACCGTCGTGTCGACCGCAGATGGCAAAGTCCAGCAGCAGCAGCAGCAGCTGTCAAACGCGAATCAGAATAGTATCAGCCCCCCCTAGTTCAACCTTGCGCCGCCAACATGGCTCTCACGCCCGCACGCTTGCCATTGTCGAGTCGTTGTTGTCGCCGCGGATGACGTGGCGAATTTGTTTGTCTCGTCGAGATGACGGCTAAACAGTGGCTGCTGCTGCTGGACGCGCAGGCGCCTGCGGCAGCCGGGGCCGGGGACCTTGCTCGTGTCCTCCATGGGGGCGGCGGGCGGGCGGGCTTGAGGGTCACGCGCCTGTACTGAGCCACTTGAGAGTCGAGCGCGCGCACTCGTGTCGTGTCGTTGTCTGCTGATCACGCTGCTTCGACACATGGTTTGTTTCTGCTAGAGGTGTGGTGCATCGCTGACCTCGGTCTTTTGTTTCGTCTGTTCCAGGTGACGCTGTTCTAGACCAGACTTCCCTCGCCATCTGCCACCATGGATCACGACCACCACGGCCACCACGATCACCACGATCATGACCACCACGACCACGACCATGTCCACCAACATGGTCTGCTCAACGCGTCGGGCGACCCGCTGAGGGGGATGGCCGTGTCGCAGCAGGACCTCATCATGGCCAAGGTGGTTGCCATGGTGGTGCTGGGCCTGGTGTCCTTCCTCATCGGCGTGCTCCCCGTCAAGCTGGCCTCCTGGTTCCACTTCGGCGATGACGTCATGTCGGGGAAGCGGGCGCGCGCCCACGAGCTAGTCATCTCGCTGCTGCTCTGCTTCGGCGGCGGCGTGCTCCTCTACACCACGTTCGTCCACCTGCAGCCCGAGGTGCGGCAGGGCTTCGAAGGGCTGCGCGAGGCCGGGCTCCTCCCCGCCGAGGACATGCAGCTGTCGGAGCTCGTCTTCTGCGCGGGCTTCTTCCTCGTGTACATCGTGGAGGAACTTGTGCACCTGGTGCTCGACGGCCGCGCGTCGCGCCACGACCACGAAGACAAGGACGTCGTCGTGGTGCACCGCACCATGAGCATCCGTCGCTGCGCGGCCAACGGTGCCGAACGGGGTGGCGAGGACAATCACGGCCACCATCACCACCACCACAGCAACATCGGCGGCCCCAACCAGATGATCCCCAGGGCCATCCTGGCGCCAGGCTCGCCGGCCAAGCAGGCACCGCTGGAGACGGTGGTGGGCAGCATGGCGCAGCCGCGCGCCGTGGACTCGGCCCGCAAGAGCATCACGTCGAGCACGGAGGGACTCATCAACGGCGGCTCGCCGCTCGGCAGCCACCTGGGCTCGACGGCGTCCTTCCCGGCGCCGGACATGAACGGCCACCACCATCACCACCACCAGCACCACGGCCACCACCACATGCCCTCCGGCCAACTCAAGGACAAGGTCGTGCCCAAGTCCATCCGCGGCTTCCTCACCGTGCTGGCGCTCTCCTTCCACGCCGTGTTCGAGGGCCTCGCCGTGGGACTGGAGTCGAGCCCCAGCAACGTGTGGTACCTGTTCGGCGCCGTGGCCACGCACAAGTTCGTCATCGCGTTCTGCGTGGGCGTGGAGCTCGTCACCTCGCGCACCAAGCTGTCCCTCATCCTGGTGTACGTGGCCACGTTCGCCGCCGTGTCGCCGCTGGGCATCGCCGCCGGCCTGCTGCTCGGCGCCGACCCGGCGGCGGGCCAGGGCGTGGCGGCCGTCGTGCTGCAGGGCATGGCCGCCGGCACGCTGCTCTACGTCGTCTTCTTCGAGATCCTGCAGCGCGAGCGCGCCAACACGCACAGCGGCGTCTGCCAGCTCCTCGCCATCATGGCCGGCTTCGGCGCCATGCTCGCCCTGGGGATGACATGTGAGTGTTACAACCATGCCGCTATTCGTTATGCAAATAGAGGGTGCGGAGCGAGGCGCCACCCCCGCGGCGTTGCGTGCTGGGCTGGAGCACCTGTTCAAGGTCGCCTCGCTGATGAGCGCCGCGGCACGCGACCACACAAATGCCATGCCGTAATCAGCATAATCTCCCCCGAATTCTTCAAACGCGGCTCCTCCGCCCCCCGTCCGCACCTACGCCCCCGTCCCCGCTCCCACTACACCCGTTGGCCGGCCGCATAGACCTCCCCGGCCTGGGTGGGCACGAGCATCGCGTTTAAGAGTTGCGTCAATACGGACGGTTGTTTTTTTTTTCTTATCGGGTAGATCGGCCAGCAAACTAAAGCGCCGCCGCACTAGTAGTAGTGCGGCGGCCGACGGGCGGCCCTCTCTGCGGTAATTGCGAGCTCGGGGCGCTCAGGAAACAGGTGCTCTGCTCGACTCGAACTATTCCGCTCCGGCACGTTTGGTGCGGCCGCCGACTTGCAAGGGGGGATTGCTCAGACCGTTAAACGGAGAGTGCTGCTTGCAAGTAAGGAAATGCGCTTTTTTAGGTGCACTCAGAGTGCAGTGGAGTCTAACTCTCTGAAAATGCAACGCAGTCTATTATTGGCACCTGTACGCAACCTGGCCTGGTCTGTAGCTGAGTGACCCATTCATTGTGCTGCACAGGGCATGACGTGCAAGCTGTGCAAGCTGGAGTAGGTCGTGCGAGCGACGAGTGGCTGGATGACCCAGTGGGGAGCAAGACTCGCTCCGTCACCGCCCTCTCACCCTCCCACCCCCTGGACTTGATGAAATTTCATTACTCAATTGTGTAATGAAAAATTTAATAACATTGTAATGAAATTGTGATGAAGATAGCTTATTATAAATGTTCTTAAAATGTAATTATTTTTTGGACGCTGATTGTTAAGCGCCGCGATAAGAGACCGCTACAGCGATGTTGGAAGATTAGATTAACCCCCCTGATTTCTCGAAAAGCAGTAGCCGTATACAGTTGTCGGCGATGTCGTCCATATCTCTCGGCGCCCTCCCCGACTTCCCAGACAAAAGAGATACGGATCGACGGTATAGGTGGTTGGTTCCAGTGAAGCCGACACATGAGTTGTGTTCGCAGCGCGGCCAGGCCAGGCATGTGTGGCTTATGAGGAAGTGGAGGGAGAGAGGGAGGGAGGGAGAGAGGGAGGGAGAGACGGAGGGAG